GGGCCCCCAAGGGGTCCTTATGTGTTATGGTCATGTGTTCTGTTGAGGTTGGTAAGGAGACGTTTGAGGGGAGGGTTTATATCAGAATTAAGTGTTCTATGAATGTAGTAGGTGCAGTAATAAGTATGGATGTTTTGAATGGTGAGTAGGTTTAGAGTTTTGAATAATGGTGGAGTGTGCTGTCTGTAGTGGGAATTAGTTATCATTCTGACTGCAGCCTTTTGTTGGGTAATTAATGGTCTGAGATGGTTTATTGTTGTTGAGCCCCATGCACAAATTCCATAGGTGAGATAGGGGTAAATAAGTGAGTGATATAGGGCCAGGAGGGCTGACTGTGGAACATAGTACCGTTTCTTCGATAGTATGCCTACGGTCATTGAATTTTTTTTGGAAATTTGTTGTATATGTGTTTGAAATTTGAGTCTATTATCAAGGTGGATTCCTAAGAATTTTCCCTCTGTGAGTTTTGTGATAGGTGATCCGTTTATCATTATGTTAAGAGGGACGTCTGTAGCTCTGTTACCAAACTGAATGAAGTAGGTTTTGTCAATGTTTAGAGTAAGTTTGTAAGTACTCATCCAGGTAGATATTTTCTGTAATTCGGTATTTACAGTATTGGCTAGAGTGACTGGGCTCGGGTGAGAGAAGACGTATGTAGTGTCATCTGCAAATAGTGTGGGTTTGAGTAGTTGCGATGCATTAGGTAGGTCATTTATGAATACGAGAAAGAGAAGAGGGCCTAGGACACTTCTCACGTATACTCTAAATAACATAAAAAGCCACAATACCGTGACTGGAACAATACACAAATAACCCGCACATAGGAGAGAGGAGCTTACCACGATGTTTCGGTCCGACTTGGACCATTTACAGAGTGACAAAGTGCCACACACTTATGACAACGGGCATTGTGGTACAGTGTGCAGGTGTTATGGGATATAGCATTACGTCTCTCGGATCATTGTGGCACAATAAACTGATGTTATGGGATAAATGATGATATAATATGATGATAATGATATGTTTATTTACTACCAGTACATGTACAAGGTATACAGACCATACCTGACATCAGTGACATAATACTATATAGAAACCCGCTTGTTATGCAGAACATTTCGGGAAAATTAGGTCAGTTTTGTACCAGGATGTGACCCACACCAGTCCACTAACACCCAGGTACCAATTTTACTAATGGGTGAACATAAACAATCGGTGTAAAGAAACACATCCAATATTTCTACCCTCGCCGGGAATCAAACTCGGACCCTCGCCGTGTGAAGCGAGAGCTTTAGCCACCAGGCCACGGGGCACCGTCTAGGCCACGGTGGTACCGTCTCTCTGATCACTGTGGTACAGTGGGCTGGTGTTATGGGATGTAACGAACACCTCTCACGGTTGGCACTAATTTCATTTCTTTCTCCCCAGACACTAGCAGCGGCGGCCCTGTGTCTGATGCTGGGGGTGGCCCTGGGCCTGCCCACCCCTGATGCCTTGCCTTACGCTGTGGCCCTGCCTTACGCCGTGGCCCTGCCTGACCCGGATGCTTTGCCTTATCCCGAGGCTCTGCCTGACCCCGAAGCTCTGCCTGACCCCGAAGCTCTGCCTGATCCAGAGGCTCTGCCTGACCCCGAGGCTCTGCCTGACCCCGAGGCTTTACCTGACCCCGAGGCTCTGCCTGACCCCGCCGCTCTGCCTGACCCCACGGCCGATCCTGACGCTGAAGCTAATCCTCATTACCACCGACATGGCTGGGGAGGCTATGGTGGTTATAGAGGATATGGAGGCTATGGTGGATATGGTGGATATGGTGGATATGGAGGCTATGGTGGTTATGGCGGATATGGCGGTTATGGAGGTTACGGCGGATATGGAGGCTATGGTGGCTATGGCGGATATTACTATCGTCCTTACGGTCACCATCACCATCATCATCGCTTTGGCTAAAAAAAAAGCTAACAGAGAATTCTCTCAGTGTACAGACACTGCCAGTGTCTGTACACTGATGTACTGACTGACAGTGTACAGACACTGCCAGTGTCTGTACACTGATGTACTGACTGACAGTGTACAGACACTGGCAGTGTCTGTACACTGATGTACTGACTGACAGTGTACAGACACTGGCAGTGTCTGTACACTGATGTACTGACTGACAGTGTACAGACACTGGCAGTGTCTGTACACTGATGTACTGACTGACAGTGTACAGACACTGCCAGTGTCTGTACACTCTATTATACTAAATTTTTTTGTACAGAATATGTTGTACATAGTGTTACTGACTGCGTTACAGCCTCAGTGTCTGTACAAATATAACTTTCATACTAATTTATATTTATTATTATTTTTTTGATTTATCAGATAATAAATTTTGATACATAAGTTGTTTTTTATTGTGGTCGTATAAATTCCTCAGTGTATATATATATATATATATATATATTTATATAATATATATATATATATATATATATATATATATATATATATATATATATATATATATATATATATATATATATATATATATATATTTTTTGCAATAAGATCACAGTAAACAGGTGATTTCAGAATATGCAAAAACAACCACTCTGAAAGAATAGAGAAATTCCAAGCGCTTTCGTGACTACTCACATATCAAGGAACTATGAAAGTAAAGCATCCAAGGAAGCTATATAAGGGGTCTGGCCAACACCTCACTATCAGATCCACAACGGTTAAACACCTGACGCGCGCCAGCCCAACTGGACAGGTCCTTTGCACAACCCACCAACAAACTATTCTACCCAAGAAAATTTTTAAAATTATTATTTGTCCAGTGTATTATTAAATTCTTCCCAAATTCTATTAATTATAAATGGATCTTAATATATATATATATATATATATTATATATATATATATATATATATATATATATATTATATATATTATATATATATATATATATATATATATATATATATATATATATATATATATATATATATATAATATATAGTGATGGTATTAACAATCCCGTGCTATGTCCTGCTCCGAGGGAAGCAAGTCAAAGTTCACGACGCTCTAATCACTGGACTATACAATCCCACCAACACCATGTACCAAGCGGGACTGGGCGAGTTTCATGATGCAAGGACATACGTGGCGGGAGCTCAGTGCTAATATTTAATCTGCTCCTGTAAGAATACCAAGCCTTAACGTGGCAGGTCTACTATAGAGTGTGACACACGAAATAAGTTGATGGTGTATGATCCAGTGTTACTACTGTAAAACATACTGTGACCAGTGCTACTTTCTGGTGTAATATACTGTGACGCATAACTGGTACTGTTGCAGACATATGTGACCAGCTGCACTACTTATGTAACTACATACTGTAACAAGATGGACTACTGTAAAACATACTGTGACCAGCTGGCAATCGTGGAGAAACATGTACTGTGTACAAAACCTTAGTGATGCTACTGCGGAAATATGGTATAAGAAGATACCGACACTATGGCAATATAAACACTAATGCAGATAGAATGTGTCCTTTATATGACTTACGTTTCGCCCACGACAAGTGGCATTTTTCAAGTCACAAACGCAGAACTACATGGGGTGGAAGGAAAGGCGAGTATTTATAGTCAGGCTGGAGGTCAGGTGAAGAATGCTGCATGTCTGATGATGTATCGAGTGGGGTTATGTGAGAGTCTAATCTAACTTGAGGTAGCTTGGAAAAGGAGGTTGATTAGTTGTGAAGCAGACCTTCTAAGTGATTCTTATGTGGATAGCGGATGAAGAAGTTTTCTCGGCAAAGTGGTTCAGCTTGATGTTATAGAGTCACTATTCTGGCTTGAAGTTTGTCGGATGTAGAAATCAAGTGAGGATTCAAGGATTCTTCGGGTATTGAGTGTTGTGTCCTGTTGTATTGTGTGCCTGGCGAACCTATACATGGACACATCTAGAAGCCGAACGTTTCTTCACGCTCAGTATGAATTTCCTCACGCTCGTTAGTCAAGCTTGCTCCCGGTATCAGACGCCCTCCCTTACCCTCCTGTTGTCTGCCCACGAGATCCAATCCCTTCTACACCTGTCACTCATCAAATATAGAATGTACATCTAATCCGCCAATCCGCATTCATAACCGTTCACTCCCCCTCGCTCCTCACACCAAAGACCTCACGCCCCCACTCCCACCAATACAACACGCGCTAGAGCCCCCCTCAATCCCAGTTCACACTCTGAAGAGATAAGGTCGACAACACTCTTCCTTTCCTAGATGCTCCTGCTCTGCAAAGCTGGACCACGAACTTCGTTTAAAAGTCTATCGAAAACCTCCACCAACCAAAAACGATCTTCTCGACTTCACTACTCTCACCACGACACCGCACCAACTGAAAAACCAAAAAAGTTGGTGTAATTATAGGCTTCTTCCTGCGTGCACTGTGAATCTGCAGCAACGAAGTTCTTGTGGGAAGATTGCATATAAATTGAATACAAATATTTTCTAAACTCCACTATCCTCGTCAACTTCATCAGAGGACTGCAGACGGCGAGCATTAAACATCTTCAATCACACCCAGAGAAGACACTGCCGAGAAGAGTATATACTTAGTCCTTCCCACCAACTCCATTGCAAACATTGTTTCCAACATGCGCTGTTGCCAAAAACTTCAGTCCAAGTATGTACCTCCACAACCACGACCATCAAGGACATCACCAGTAGTAGGCAGGACAAGCCTCCATTCCTCTTGCAGGGGTATACATAATCCCTTGTAATGACTATTGCACAAGCTTATTGACGTGGGCGAAAACATCAAGGGACCTCCAAACACGGTGATTTCAGAACACAATTACGCAAGCAGGTCTCGACTGATACACAAGGAATGCCTGCGTACAAACACCCGTAATGTTCACACAACCACTTGATAAACTAGCAGAAACTCAAGACGTATCGGCACAGAAGAAAAACACTCAATACCAGAAGATCCTGGAATCATCACTTTATTTTCTACATCCGGACAACTTCTCACCAGATAGTGGCTCTATAACCATAGCTAACCGACTGTGGCCAAAGAACTTCGTCATCGCTATACCCACTTAAGAACACTTGTAGAAGGGTTGCTCACAAACTTATCCAATCTCCACTTTCCAAGCTACCCCAGTTTTTAGACTCTATAACCCACTGGTACATCATCAGAATGCAGCATTTCTTTACATCTTGAGTCCTCAGCCAGGATACTATGGGATACTCGCTTTCCACTCTCCAGCCCCAGGTATTTCTGTGGTGACTTGAAAAAGCCCACTGTGTGGGCGAAACGTAGTCAAGAAAGGATCACATTATACTGCATTTGTGTGTTAGATTGCCATGGTGCTACTGCAAACATACTGTGACCAGCTAGGGGTACTACATGGTAAACATTACTGTGACCAGCTGGTTACTACCTGTTAAACATACTGTGACCAGCTGGTACTGAGTGCAGGCATACTGTTGACCCTGATGTTACTGTTTGTTAAGACATTACTTGTGACAGGTGGCACTGTTCCAGGGATACTGTGACCAGGTGTTGCCTGTTGTATATACCACTGCAGTTTTTTCAAAATACCATAGTTTTTTCTTATATGATCCTAACGCCATTTAAAAAAATGAGAAAAATATTGTAAACTATACCTTCTGTTGTTGTGTGGTTGAACTAGAGATGTTTTATAATACCTGGTAAGATCTTTGAATGGATGAAGTCTGCGCTTCAACCATTCTGCGAGGAAAAAAGAAGCGAAAAAAATTTATTTCAACTAGTGCATTATAAACTGAATATAACTAGGTAGAGTCCTAAAACCATAATGAAAAACCTATCTTCTTTTATGGTGTTGTTGACGGCCCCTATCTACATTTACTCCCTGGAAACGCATGGCGAGAAGAAAGTTACGGTTGTGGTACGGGGAGTTATTGCTTGGAGTAGTTTAGGAGATGTCGTTTTGATAAGGGAACCTGCCTCGTATGGGCCAGGTAGGCCTTTGCAGTCGTTCCTACATTCTCTATGTTCTATAATATACATTTGGAAGATCTATAGGGATGTGGGACTCCGACACGAATCTACACACCGAAATCACTTCTTACGAAAGCAATAAGACAGGCGGATGGCAACATCCCCCTAATGAAAAGCAGGCGGGTGTCATGAGTATTCTTGAGGGGACAACACAATAAGTAACAGGGGCCCAGACTGCTAGCACAACTGCCTGTCCCCGCATACATAAGGAGGATTACCAATTAGACCCCGGCTGTCGTTCACGTAGGCGATCCTGGACAGCAGTTAAAGCAGAACCTGACCAGTCAGGGCTGTGGTTAGTACATTAGTTTGCGTTGGAACCAGCGAGGTAACTAACCGTTTGTGATCAGGCCCTGTGAATTCCACCGCAAGGACACTTGTCTATGGATGGGGCATCGGGGCGTTGGCCCACCACGGAATGCCCTCTATTTAGTACTCCACATATACCAATTTTACTGATATAATATGTAACGTGATTTTTCTGAATGTCTACTGCATAAAAATATTTTTGGCTTGATGGGGTGAGTTCCCAGCTCCTTGGCCCTCTTGCCAAATATGCATTTCCAGATCCTGGATATTTTTTTTCATAGTGCATAACAGCTCTTCGAGCCTTTGTGGATTGGGTTTCAGCTCTTTTTCTTTTTAGAAAGGGGAAATGAGAGCCCTAAAATTGGGTAAATATATATAATATATATATATATATATATTATATATATAATATTTTATATTATATATATATAAAATTTTATATAATATAATATTTTTTTCCAAAGAAGAAAAATGTACCGTGGTCAGCTTTTATTGTTGTTATTGGAGTGTTGTAAATGACTGTAAGTCGTATTCGATGTTGGTGACGTGAGTCATCTTTTTTGGTATTGTGAATGACTGTAGAGTCTCATTTTGATATTGTGAATGAGTAGAGTCAGTATTCTGAGTATTGCAATGTGTAGAGTCGTCATTCTGAGTGTTGTAAAGACTTGGGTCAGCATTTGAGTGT